CAATAATTCCGGAATCATTCCGACTCCTGAGTGGCAACTCCGCAACACTGATCTATATGAGTGCTAGAGCGATCGGCTATCTCCGAAGCAGCCTATAACCAAGATTCACCTCCGCTCGACGGAAATGATCCCTGGAGAAGGGGATTATTTGCGTCGTTCTTGTCCAGCTTGCTTGCACCTGTGCGTTTAATTGCATTATAATCACCTCTGCTTCTTTTCCATCAAATGAAACCTGATTTCCCTAATCATCGAGTCTACCGATACAGAAATCGGTCAAGATGTATCGAAAAATGAAAAGGGGGTGCAATTTACATATTGTCGTCACCACCATCACCTTCAGTTATTTCGTGATGATGGTGGTGGTGGCAGTTACCACCACCACCATCATCATCATAGTCAATATTATCATCATCATTAGGGACCTCATGAACCTAGCCTTAGCCCAGAACTCCGAAATTTTTTAAAACTCGCCTCCATTCATCCTTTCCAATCGAGGAACAAGGAGACCTTCCTCCTTTCTTCCGGGAATTGCTCAGAACACTCAGAGATCGGCTTCTGTGGAGAGAGGGGGAGAGAAGGGACTGCGAGGGAATAGAAAGAAGGAAACTGGGAATCTTCCCGGCAGAAGACGATTCTGTTGGTCGGCCTATTACCCGGTCCTGTAACTATGCAACGACGCCTTGCTGTGTCATTTTGGGGGCTTGAGGTAAGGCAAGCTATTTTATGCCTCCTCTATTCCATTTCCTCCGCCAACCTTGCATTTTTTTTTTGGAAAATAAAGGACCTATTATCAATACTAAAATTAGTTTTTTTATATTAACCCTATCTTGCAACGTAACTCCATGAGCCGTCACCAGAGTTAAGATTTCTTCCTTCTGCGAATCTCAAGAAAACAAAATACACAGAAAAGGAAACGAATTGACGGAGAACACACACGAACCGAACTCGTGCGAATTGAACTCGAAGAGCAACGCCCGCACGGTCAACCTTCCTTTAGAGAGACAGAAAGGGCCCCGAGAAAACGGGGGCGGGGGTCAACGGGGCGGCCCGGTGTCCCCATGACCTGACGGCACCTCAAGACCCCCCGGACCCTTTCACTCTCGGTCCCTTGTGTACGTCCCACGCAGATTAGCATCGCGAGGGCCCGTTCCTTCTCTGCCGTGGTCCCTTGTCCACATCGACCCCCACCATGAACACACTCTGTTCACATCTAAGCTGAAAGTACGGTAGAAGCTACGCGGTCGCCGGTCCAATCGACCGCCTCCTTTTCGTCACGTGGACCCGCCCTGTGCGCAGGGGTAAAAGGGCGAGAGCGTGACCACCTGCGAAAGATAAACGCTTGACTGGTCCAACGAAATTCGTAGGTTCCACCGCACTGACAACTTAGGGGATGAACGGAGTACACAAGGCGTGTGTGGCACACTAAGCGACATTTTTGTGTGACTTTAAGTGCGATGATTTAGCGCTCCCGCCTCTTCAGCCTTTTTCCTGTGATCTAAAGGCTTCTTGCTTCCGATATAACGGCTGTGTCTCCTTCTCTTCTCTTGGTGTCAGCTTTCGTATTTTCTCTGTCTCGGTTTCCTTCAAAATGTTTAGTATACACTCTCAAGAAAAAAAGATGTAAGAGGCTGTATCGTTACACCCTTTGTCCCATATAATACACCCCCAAATTTCATTTCTACGTACAGCGCCCTATATTCGAACAGACGGCTCCAAATTTTACGAGGGGCTTGATAACGGTGCGATATAACTTTCTAATTACCTAAAGCACGTATCAAAGACCACACAAAGAAACCAATGAGGTTTTGGAGTAGGGTCAAGAAAACCCCGAATATTTTTTCTGTAGTTAGTAGCACATACATTAGCTATTTTAATAAGTTGTACCACATGGCTATCAAGCCCCTCGTAAAATTTGGTGCTGTCTGTTCGACTATAGGGCGCTGTACCTTGACTTGAAGTTTTGGGGTGTATTATATGAGACAAAGGGTGTAACAATACAGCCTTTTACACCCTTTTTTCTAGAGAGTGCACACCAGGCCGCTTGCGCCCTTACATTCGGTTCGTTGATACTGTTTGTATACCAAAGATTCTCGTGAAGTGAAGCGTCTGAGCACGGGCCGCGGTCTGAGCATCCGTCGCGTCAAGGGTGTGACATCAGGACTCAGGGGCATAAACTCGTGTGGACCAATCAAGCCGGCAACATTTGACGTGCGAATTTCGGGAAAGCCAGCTCGAAGTGTCGACTTTAAATGTAGAAAACGGTGGTTCGCAAACGCTGACGCTTCCCGCACCACTGTTCAATGGATAACGACATGAAATACGACATTTCGCATATATTCATCACTCCCTAGCAAGGAGCAAGAGAATGTTTATGTTATGGGCTTTACATTATACTTGTATTCTGGTGACGTTACGTTAGATTCGGGGATATCGAACAAGTGAAGCACACGTAAAAACAAACGCGAGCTGATGAATCGATGTTATATTTTGGGCAACTACAGGTGCGGGGATACTTTAGATTCTAGAAAGTCAGTCTTTCTCCAATGAAAAAAATATTTATCTATATATTAGACACATTTTCCCGCGTCATATGTGCGGATGATTTTCTGTGCAGCGGATTGTTTTTAACTGAGGTTTCTAGGTGTTAAGCTACCTATTTACGTATTTCTTCCCATTTATACTTATTAGACACACCACAACAACAAAATCAAGCCACGGATAAAAACCATGACATTAATTAGCTTTACCAGAGGCGTCCAGTATCTGAGTAGCTAATGCCTTCACAGTAATACGTATAAGAACGAAATCCCCATATTAAGTTCACCTTGCTGGCTCCTTTACCGTTTTCCTTTCTTTTAACAGTTGACGTTGCCCCGTAGCATAGACAAATCACATAAACGGACCAGCATCAACATTCCCCGATCGTCGACATTCCTAACCCGAAAGTTCCGTTGAGCAGTCCCAGGTCAAGCCTCGTGCTGCTACGAACAGTTCCAACTGTGTTGGGAAACAAACACGATAATAACACATCGCTTCTTCGTTTTTTCGTGTGTAGTTTTAGTGAGGGAGGGGGGAGCAGGGCAAAAAAGGCAGGAACCACGCCCGTCACCTCCTCCTGGTAGAGCGTGCAAGGCGCGCTCGCAACACAACAACGATGCACCCCTCCGAGCCAGGACCCCTAAAATTTGACAAAAGGCACCAGTCGCGGAAAAGAACTCTGTGCGCGCGGGTTCAAAGGAATCCCGCACAAAACGCAAACGGAGGGAGGGTTTGTTTGCGAACCCTCGTCGGACCCGAGCGAGGGGTCTGACCCCTTCTTTGGCGAAAGGGGGTCCTCCGGTCCCCGAAACCGTAGGCTTTGACCGGGTTCAGGCACCGTTCGATGCAACCTTTCTCCTTCCGTCCATTGCTGGTCAGTGTGAGGAACGAGCACAGGTCATGGGAATTGGCGGGGTCCGCTGCCCTGGGCAGATCCGATTAGAGATTCGCGGGGAAGAGCTGAGAGGTGGAAAGTTCGAGTTCGTTGCTCCGGGTGTCGGTGCAGCTTGCGCCGAAGACGTTCTTGCCCTGGCCCTCTGCAGAAGGGGGTGCTGACGACGGGGCCGCTACGGCGCGTGGTCCCGATGGATCGCTAGACCATCCACCTAGAAGAACAAGGCTTACGCCTGACGTCATTGTTAGTGGATTTAAGCCCCGCCCCAAGTGGCAAACACGCTAAAGCTCGATATGAGTCGCCGCAAAGCGGCAGACGTGTCGGTCTTGGCGTCACCGCGTTAGCGTCGGTCTCGTGAGACGCTGGCAGGCGTGCTGCCTGCAACGCTGGCAAAAGCTAGGCGACGCTGCATGATCCCATAAGGGCAGAGCCATTCATTCATTCGGAGCATTGAGAGAGACAGGAAATCAAAGGAAGTGTTGCTTGACCAGAGCAGAGCCACTGGTGCAGATCCCCTATATATGGTTCTGCACTAAGTGCAGAGCCCCTATATGTGACCCTGCACTAGTGATGACCGGAGCGCCCCTAGCGGCACGCCATCGGCGTAAGCATCCGCGATGGGGTGTGTGCAAGAACCGCCCGCGCGTCCTGCATCACCGAACCATTGGAATGTGATGCTGGTGGCATCGGGGAGTGTCCCCGCGCTCTTTTTTTTTTTTTTTTTCCGCTGGAGTTGATAATTTTACGTCTTTCACGGCAATGTCTTACTACTTTAGTGAGTTGAACTAAACTTACGAGGTTGGTTACACCGCAGAACTTCGTGAATATAATCGGACGTGCGGCTATTCATTCCGTGCGAACGCCGCAGGATGGACGCTAAAGCCTGATTCACGTGGTTAGATTTTGCTCGCTGTTTTCAGTAGCGACGTCGCTCGGGCGGCAAAAGAAGCGTGGACGGTAGCTGCGATGCTCAACGTCGATATTGAAAATCGCAAGTAGAATCGGAAAAAGTGAATCAGGCATAACAAGTCGGTAATGGTCACTGGTATCAATAATCGACATCTCCTTGTCTCTACTGTTCACTACGAACCTACCCTTCTGGAAAAAAGAGCTAAAATCTCATTCATTTTTGCACCAAAACCAATGTGCATGAATGAGCAACCCGATGAAACTTGAATGTGAAATTACCCTAGAAACCCACAAGCTGAATATAGAAAATGAGACAAAATGGATATGTATTTCGGTGCGAAAATGAATGTGCCCGAATGAGCAAAATAGGCAGACTGCCATGAGCGGTTATGTGCTTTGTAAGGAGGATTCAATCGTTTTGAATGAGAATGCAGGATAGAAACGAATAAGCATCAATGAGCTGAAGAAGTGAAAATCCAGCAGCAGTAATGTGAAATTTTAAGGGATTTGTATGTTATGCTCATTGAATTTTTAATATTATTTCAATGGCAGAAAATATCGCGGGAAAGGTCTACTGTAGCTGCTTTTAATGCGGCAAGCACACTAAAAAACAGCTACAGCAAACCTACCTTGCGGCGAAGTGAGAGACACTCCAGTGTTGAAACACAAATTTTACTTTTCTGAAATAATACATGTGGAAACATAGGAAGCGTCGTCCTTGACAAGCATAGTTCCAGAGACACTTGGTCCGTTATTCTTGGTCAGTACCTAGCGCATGCCGCACGTCACGGCCCAGGTCACGTACGGCGCTGTTTATGTGTGTGGTCATTGCTGCCATCCGCTCAGCCAACACATCGCCACTGGCGCCATGTTCACGTAGCCAGTCCTCATAGCATGCTGGAAAAAAAAATGCTAAACTCTGCATAATTTTGACAGAGAAATTTGTAATATTTAAAACAACCTAAGTGTGGGGTAATTTTAATCTTGCAGTATGCAGATATCTTTTTATCTTTTATATAAATAAAAAAAATGAGATACGTCTATCCTTTAGTTTATATTTGTGGGCATGACGGACATAGACGGCTGGATAACTGTCAGAATATGTCGACAAATTACAAATATATGGCAATTAACTTTTTATTTAGTGGTTTAATGAGGCATGTTGCAATCAGGCACGTAGCCAGGATTTTGTTTTGGGGGGGGGGGGGGGGGGCGCCCAGGACAAATTGATGCATGAGGGGGAGGGGGGAGAGGAGGTCCCAACAAAATGTAAGATATCGGGGGGGGGGGGGGGGGGGGGGTGGCGGGCCTCATGGGGGCCCCCCAAAATAGCCATTATTACAGGCTAACCCAATTTCGACAATTCGTAAAAATTTGTCGCTTTGAAACGTTCATTGTTAAAATTTTCTTTTTCGTTGCCTAACTCAAGAACTGCGCACCAAAAAGAATCTGGGAAGTTTTGCCGATAATGGTCCATAGAAAAGTGACAGTTGTTTTAGTCATCTCGTCACTATCTGTACAGCATATCCTCGGTAGTTGCTCCACAGTCAACCACCAATTGCAACATGCCCATTAAACCATTCAGGGGTGGAACTCATGAAATGTACTTGGGAGCAGCCACGGGAGCAGCTGAAACAGCTGTTTTGGAGCAGGTTGGGAGCAGCTAAAACTACATTCTGGAGCAGGCTAGGAGCAGCTCAGATCAGTTTGCATTGCACTTAAGCTTGTATCTTAGACAAGCACGAAAGCAATTTCAATTGTGCTTAGCAGCAGAGATGAACATGAGCGGTTAGGGACCTAGGTAGAGGGGATAACAGTGTAATATATGCGAAAACTTGAATCTTTGTGAGCCTTAATGAGAATCAAACAGCAAGTACTCTATGTTTCTGAAGATAGCGTCCTTGATATTTTCTGAGTGGCCTTCAGAAGCTCAAGATGCAAACCAGCTCTGCTTATCGCAGAACCCACACGTGCTCGACATAGTAATTATATGTGCGAACCACGTAGCGTGCGTAAACAACGGACGTGCAGTTGCACGGAGGAACAGGGCAACAAATTTCGAGTTTATCCTATTGTGCAACTCGATATCGAAGCAGCAGACTACGATTAACGAAGTTATCTTATTTGAAGCGATAAGCAGGAGCAAGCTTAAAGTAAGCCGAGCAGATAAGTAGAGCTGCTGACCGGCAAGGTTTCGGATCGGACCGCGTTTCAGTTCTATCAAATCACGATTTATCTTGCAAGAATGCAGTTCCAACTCCTAACGATGAAGCACTAAAAGGAATATTTTGCTCATTTGCTTTCGACTGGATGACGCCCGGATCCCGGGCCGCAGAGCCTCATGCAATCTGACGCTTAACGACTCGACCTCACCTCGGCCTACTTGCCCTACCGCTTATGGTTGAAGAGTAACAATCCAGTCGCAGGTGGTGTAGCGCTTAGAATCCGAGTTTTTTCGCGCGCTTCCGACTCGGGATAGAGAAGGGGAATAAACATAACAAGGGATTGCAAGGCCGACCAGGCTAAACGCCCTCATTGTTGACAATCGAGTCGATAAAAACCGAAACCAAGACAAAATAAAACGTTTTTTTTTTGGCGCACGTTTTGCGATTTGGCGCATAATGGCGCGAGGTATTGGCTTTGGCGCAGTTTCTGCAACATGGCGCAGGATGGCGCAGACACATGCGTCTGGCGCAAAATGGCGCACATGGCGCAGCCGTTCCACCCCTGCCATTTTTTAACAGGTTTTGGTTAGTTAGTCAATACAGGTGATGGTTATCCACCCATGTAAAAATTATGGAAGAAAAAATGCCCTGCATATTTAAAAGATGCCTAGTTAAATGCATGCAACTTTTACCGAAAAAAATCTAGTGCACTACTGTGAAATATAATATACCAAACAGGTAAAAATAAATGTTCAAAAGGTTCGATACGCTGCACATTATTTCGTGTAGTATTTTTTTTAGTAACATCTCCAAAATCTCCATTTGTTGGTTATATTAATCTGTTGCTTCTTCTTCACCTTGTAGTCAGGTCATGAGAAATATGGCGGCCCTGTTGAATGTAATCAGTTAGTGATAAAACGGAGTAAACACGGAAAGTGCCGTAAACTACAAGCTACTCACCTTCTAGCACATTAAGTTTTGTTGGAGTCAGTGGTGGCTTCGCAGCACCTCCATCATTTATCAAACGGTTAGACACCTTGCCACTCGTAGATCGATTTTTCAAAATATTGCGTCCCCATATGGCAGTAGCCAGACTCCTCACAAACTTGGACTCTTTTTTTTGTCGCTGACAGGCGACCCATTGGTCCAAACTAAGGGTAACACTGTCATTTACACAGACCTGCAAATGAAGCAGAGCAATGGATATAAATAAAAACAATAAAGGCTTCATTTGTAATCCTACGAAGCTGTTGGAAATGACAGCAAGTACACAAACTTCAAATTAACCGACAGTTCAAGCCAGCTTTATTTCATGACCACAATCTTAAAACATTGATCGGCCATTTTCTAATTGCAGATTTTAAGAGCAGATATAAATCTAGCTTGTGGCTTCTTTATAATTTTGTCCTTTCCAGTACTTTGTCAAAATATTAAAAAAACTAAAACGGCAACCACAGGCTATAAAAAATTTGCTGCATCAGCTTACCGTTCTTCCGTCAGTTCTGAGTTTAGCCTTCTTCACGATATCATGCTTGGTGTTTGCATTTATTGAGCATCCTTGACGGCGCAAAATCAAAGAAAAAAAAAAAAAAAAACTAAGTTAAACATTTTAGATCACCATAATTGTCTTAGGCTTTTTTTTTTTTTTTTTTTTGTAAAATTCATGCTTCAGAAGGAAAGCAGTGCTCTCGAGCTTTGATTTGATGCTGTTTACACCCTCAAGAATCACATCCAGAATGTCTGTGTTTTTGGCCTCTCTTGTCCGCATCTTTTCAACGTCTTCCTTAAGTTCCCTTGTAGTTTTTTTTAGGGCAAGATACTTCTGATGGAGATCGTCGTACAACTTTTTGGGAACAACAGCACCATCATCCCCACTGTCTGTATCACTGTGGCTTTCGTACCTGGCATGCTTGGCACTCCGAGCCTCTGGGAAAAGTGGGTTCTTGCGCTTCTGAGACAACTTTTCTGAAATTATTTGCTTCATCTTTGCTGTTGCTTCTCTTGTACGATTCAATTTCTGCTGAGCCTGCACTATTACAAGCACCATGTAGGGAAAGCTCCAGCATCTTTTGATTTCATTGGCGGTCACATTTTCATGGACACTCTTGTCAAAATAATAATTGTAATTCACACCAACATTTCTTTGCTCTGCCAAAGAAAAATTTAGTATATAATTGCAATAAGGATTTCTTCCAATACAATTTATGTTTTCAATCACAGCAAATTATATAGAAAATTAGTAATTTTTGTGTAAAACTCAATTATGCAGTTTCTTAAATGAAATTTTAGAAAGAAAATCAGGTGACGGATTGTCTGGGTGCTATTCTCACTGCATTACTGCACTCGGCTTATCAAGCCTTTGAGAAACATCACTAGTATGTTGACTAATTAACGAAAATCTGTAAATTAACTGTTTGGGGCTATGTTGCAATTGTAGTTAAGCAAACCATTGTTAGGGTACTATCGAATTGAAACAATCTGCAAAAGGGCAACAAGCTTTTAGATATTCAGAGCTGAAATTACGCCTTTTGTGTCCTGGTTAAAAAACTGCATACTGGAAGGAGCGCGATATGTTGCGCTCACATAGTCGTTTTGGTCTGGCTTGCGGGTTTTCAGTCAAGCCATGAAAGGCAAAATTTATATCTAAAAACTTGTAGCCTTTTATAAATTGTTCAAATTCGGCAAGGCTTTAATAATAGCTCCATTTAAAAGTGCAATTGCAACACTGTCTAATAAACGGTTCTAATGTCAACCAATCACAATAATTATAAGGACAACATCCACATACATACCTATTACCTTTTCGTTTTTCTTAATAGAGAAAAAGAACAAAAATTGTTATATATTGTTTTACACTAGACAAGATGTATCAGTCATACTTAACCTCATTTCTCTGAATATTACAGAAAATTTGTAATCTTCCAAGGTGTGCTTTAAAACTATATGGGGGAATAAATAATGAACTACAGTACCAAAAAACCGAACAGACTAAATGGAAAAACAATATAATTTTAATTTCAACCAGAAACCAGCTAAAATCAGTTTTTTTGTGAAGTATCAATTTTCATACTTTAATCTGTATTTACCTGTTAAGGCCATTGTTTTATTCAGTTACCACTTGCAGTGACATTTAGTCTTTTATTTCATAGTGTAAATAATTTTTCGTGGCAACACAGCTCATTTGTACATATTAGGGAGTTTTAGCAGGTCGTTTCCACACGAACGGTTCGCCCTCGAACGCATCCGAGACGCCACTGCGCATGCGCGCGCGAGTCGTTCGGGGAGTCGGGAGGCTCTTCTCGTTCGTTTCTCCCATTCCGGCCGCTGGAGTCGTCACCGCAACGCAGCCAGCACCGTTCACGACTCGGGTAAAAAAAAAGATGGCGGTCGGTTCGGCGACCGCCTTCGCCGACCCAGCCGAGCGTAGGACAGCAGGAGGCGATTTGCCGTCCTGTTAGTCTGCTTCATTTGAGAGTTGAACCAAATCATTTCGAGGACTACTCACAATGGTAAGCGATCGTGAATACTGTAAACTGCGCATGCTGGTAAATTTTTGCGATCTGCGGGCAGACTAGCTGCCGTAGCAACCGCGAGCAGACGAAATGATTTGGTTCGACGGCACACAACGTGAACGATCGTTCAAGTTCAAGATGACGGAGACACACCACATACCTTTACGGTCGTTCAGACACTTTTTACTCTATCTAGCTTCGCAGTTCTTGAAATTCCGACCGGCAAATGTTACGTCGGCCGTCTTGTTTACATCAGTCGTACGCCGGAAACACGAGCCGCCACCACGGTGTCCGCCACCGTCGGCACGGATTTACACGTTGCAGAATGTTTCACATGTTTACTAGAAGATGGCGCCACCGTTAAGCAGGATCATCATCATCGTTTACACGGTCGCGCCACTTTCACGATTCGCTAAAGTATGTCAAATTTGACGTACGGTTTCACGGAACGGACTAGCTGTACCGTTCGTGATTTCGGAACCGTGTGCTTGAAAAACAACTCGCTAAAACTCCCTATTATGTGAAGGCACCGGAGGGGTTCTATGATAGTTATAAAAGGATAAGCAGCAACAAAATGCTTGCCATTTCGACCCGAAGAGCTGCTTGGTCGTCTTCCGAACTGCTGTGCTCAACAACCTGGTCAAGGACTTTAGGTAGAGGGATCCTCTTGCCCCTTTTGATCCTCTCCTCGATCGACGACTTTGAGTCTGCAAAGTGGTACACACAATAACATATAGGGCAAGTCTCCTCTGGTGTGCTGCTGTGAGGAACTGCATTGATATATATCACCTGCCAAAAGTAGTATTTGGGCTTTAAAACAGCCCGGCTCCCCTCCGTCTGGAGTCAACAAAGCATCATAAAGGTGACCTTTTTTGTAGTCAACCTCACTTCTCGGTTCAAAGTTTTTAATTGCAGATGTACTGATGATAGTCTTAGGTCGTGCTGTTCCAGTAAAATATTGCACATATGCGAAATTCATCTCTGTAAGAAAAGAATACAATCGAATTTAATGTGAAGTAATCGCATTATGTTCAAACAATTCCAACCGTCACATCCGCATGTGGTGGAGAAAATGTGGCTGATCAGCGAGGTAATTTATTACACAAACAAAGCACCAAGGCAAGACGAGACTACACCAATTCCCGATTAATATTTTTATATTAATTATACGCCTTAATCAACCGTGACAGCGTGCGGTCTAGAGAAGCTCGTTCTAACGAACGCAGTTTTAGCGAAAACATTTTCTTCGAGCTGCCTCGAAAGTCGAAACTCGGTTTCGAGAAGATGGCAACCCCCGGCATGCTGCTTCCGATGTTTCTCTGATTCATCAGCCTAGCTTGCCGAGTACTCAGCGATGAACCCTTGTAGGTGCGTGCTCAAACTTGAGATTAACATTCCTTCGAGCGACAGCGAGCGCGCGTAGCATGGTTTGCTTGCAAGTGTAGGTTCCCGCCGTGCACACATCGCATTTCTCTAAACCACACTTCGATAAAACGTACTCTTTTCGCTTTATATATAAATATGAAAGAAGAAGAAGAAGAAGACGAAAAAGAAGTGAGAGAAAAAAAAAAAAAACGCGTGCAACGCAGTTTCGTTTCGCCGATCCAACCATGCGCCGGCGCAAACTGCTGCCTGAATCGCAGTTTCGTTTCGCCGATCCAACCATGCGCCGGCGCAAACTGCTGTTGAACTATATTTTACTGCAATAAAATCTTACCCTTTCTTCCTGTAGGAATAGATGTCCTGCGGTCTTTTCAGCAACTGAAAGCTCATCCGCAGCAGGTGATGCAACCAAAACTAGCAGCTCAACTGGCTCAACCGGCTCAACTGAAACCGCGCGCCGACTCCGGCTGGCCATATGGCGAGACGGCCACCTAACACCCATGGCAAATACAGAAGAGAAGGATAACTCTAATAAAAAAAAATTAAGTTTCATTTTACAACTTAGAATTATATTTAGTTCAGGACGTTGTTATTAGCACTATAGACTGTAAAGATGGTTTTGTTTACAATGCGGTTTATGGCGCGATGGCGTGCGTTTCACGTTTTCGAAGTACCCAGGTCCCCGGGTAGCCATCCCGCCAATCCCGCTACTACAGCCACTGTACCGCTACTAATCCCGCTTCCCGCTCTTCCCGCGTCATTCTTCGCCATTATTGCTCGTCAAACAAGCGCTACGCCGATTCTGCCGAAACTTCTGCATATGAAACGGCATTATGGCCAGTAAGCAGCGGCCGAAGCAATACCGACGTTACCTGGCACCTTTATCCGAAGAGAGCGTGCCGCGGTCGACGCGTGCTCGGTGGCATCAGACCGAAAAGGTAGGCTTTTATAGTCGGTGAACCGTAAGATTTTATTGACGAAATCTTTTTGTTGTCAGATTCTTGCTGAAGGCGCCCCGCGACCTTTGGAGCAGAAGTCAGCTGCGCAGTCTCACAATCGTGGAGATGTGAGTTTGTTCATTTCAAGCGTTACTTCATGCATGGTCTTTCGTTGTTAAATACCGTGTGCGTTCGCTCTCGTCTTTCTCTGTATCGAGCCACTGCTTCCAACCTCCGGCTCCTATGCTTTGCTGCAGTGCTTCTGGGCTGGGCTTTGTGAGCGAATATCTGACGAATAGGCGATGAAGCTCGCCCGACGGCGCTCGATGTGCGCGTGCGAACGCCCCGGGGCGAGCTTCGTCGCTTTTTGAACACAAATATGGCAAAACTTGCAACTTGCTTTTTGGACACAAATAGGGGAAAACTTGCACTTGTATGGGAAAACTTGCAACGAAAATCTGAAAGAAAATTCTATCATGTAAGACGCCACACGGCCCAAGACCTCAAAAGCCTTGACGATGTCAAGAACGACGACGACGACGTCTTGGAAATCGAAGACGTCTTGGGCGCCTTAGATTGAAATCTTTGGAATACGGACAAAAAATTTAAGAAAGCGCGAAATTGACGTGTGGTGCTACTCGATCGAACATATAATGTCCCTATAACCTAAACTCATACTGTGCGTGCCGTTCTTTCTCATGTTCAAGCTTTCTTAATTTTTGTCAAATACTGTAAAACGTTTTTATTGTGCGGCCTTTATATTTTTTAAATCCGGCTGGGACCATCATGGCTTGCACGTGACGTCAAAGCTGCTCTTCTTGCTGGTGGTGAAAGCGTGCCGTTAATGCACTGGAAGCTGCGCCGACTCGTTTCCGCCCGCTGGTAACGCTTGTTTTTTGGTTGTAGAATTAGTACTGTAAAGGCTATGCACCACCACCAGAGAGGATCAAATTATGTTGGTGCAGGCTATTCCAGGGGTCCAAATCCAGGCCTTTAAAGGTTGGATTATTTGTGTACGGTTAAACTAAGTTCTAAATCTTTTCTAATTAGTGAAATTGTGGCTCGCGAGCAGCAATAGTTTTACAGCATCTGTTTCATGGGGTCCATCTTGTGGGGAAGGAGGATGCCCTGCAAGAGCACGTTCTTCAGAGCATGAAACATAATTTTCACGTGCCTTCCCGCTCGACTGCTGGTTTAATCTACAGGGTGAAACAAGGAGACGGCAGGCTCTTTAAATCGACCGGAAAATTCGGTTTCTTAACCTATCGCGCTACGACTTTGTGCAGCGTTGCCCACAGATGGTGCATTTTTTTTGTAAAATTTGCAAAGAGCGAACTTACCTGAGGAAGAAGTAAAGAAAGAAAAAGGCTTAGCTCCTATGGAAACGCAGCGAAGCCACCGGTCTTCAAACACGGCGCCGTTGCGCACGGGAGACAAGAGATGGCGCAAGCGGTCGCGACGCCAACTGCCTCCAACGAACGAGCAGACGACGCCGAGAGCCGGCGTATTTAGCAGACAAGGAACTGCAGTTCCTCGTTGTTACCGCGTCTGTTTTTGTTTCTGCGACTGTCGCCGCCTGCGGAACGAGTGTTGCTTTTGAGTCGAAAAGATTGTCTGCTGACGCTGGCACTCGGCGCCGTATGCTCGTTCGTTGACGGCGTTCGTTGCGCCATCTCTTGTGTCCCGTGCGAAACGGCGCCGTGTTGTTTGAAGACTGGTGGCGTCGCTGAGTTTCCGTCGGAGCTAAGCCTTTTTCTTTCTTTACTTTTTCCTCAGGTAAGTTCGCTCTTTGCAAATTTTACAAAAAAAAAAAAAGCACCATCTGTGGGCAACGCTGCACAAAGTCGTAGCGCGATAGGTTAAGAAACCGAATTTTCCGGTCGATTTAAAGAGCCTGTCGTCTCCTTGTTTCACCCTGTAGATATGAGTATGTCTGCTCCTGAGCACTGAAATGGGTCTCATGTACGGTTGGTTGGTGTGGGGTAGAGTGCTGCAGAAGCTCTACCTCCTGTAGACGCTCGTTACCTCCGAAGCGCCAAAGCACAAGTGTGCTTCGGTTACGCATTCATGCTTGTGCTATCAAGGCTAGAAAGTTTTTGCTGCCGGGGGGGGGGGGGGGGGGCGGGCGGGGGGGGGGGGGGGGGGGGGGGCGGGCGGGCGGGCGGGCGGGGGGGCGGCGGGGGGGGGGAAGTGAAGGGGGTGGGTGGGTGGAGGTGGAGGTGGAGGTGGAGGAGGAAGAGGGGCGCAGCTTCCCGTGTGGCTTCAGCCTGTCAGCGACCATGGTGCCAAATGGCTTCCGAACCACCATGTGCTGGTGCAATGCTGCACCAGCACATGTGTTGCACTCTGAAGGTCTTTTGCAAAATATAGTGCCTGATACTGCTCGCATTGGTGTTGATGATATGCCCAATGCTATTTGATGTGAGACAGTATATTGCCTTTTTTTATTTGTTGCTGTAAACACTCTTTTATAGGGTCCGCCATGTTCTGGACAAGGGATTGAAGCTTGTTTGACCACTGGCCACCTAAGTGAGACAGACTGCAGTGGGCCAACTTCTCGACAGAGTGAGATTTCTTTGGCTGAAATGTCACCGGTGTTGCTCTCGGGTGAAATTCCGCAAACTGAAAGTATGTGTGAGGAGGCCGAGTCTCCGTGCAGCGCAGACAGCCTTTCGAGCTTCTCAGTTAGCTCTCCGGGGAGCTCAGAGTGCGAAGAGAAGGACATTCAGAGCGAAGGAGAGCAGCCTGGCTCTCCTACTGAACATGTTTCTGATGCACCATCAGCATTCAGCGTCAAGGGTTTTAACTTGACTACTCAAATTTGCAAATGTACAACAACGACCGTAGCGGAAGTGCTTGTTCTTCTGCTGTCATTTCTTGCAAAGCACCGGCCTACTGTGTCAGCCTTGGTTGACATCCTGCAGCTCTTCAATGTCGTGTTCCAGAAGGACATCCTGCCTAGTACAAAGTACCTGTTCAACAAAGCATTTTCCAGTCCCTCCCTCATGATGCAGTATCACATGTACTGTGAGTATTGTCTAGGATATGTTGGCATCCGAGAGCAGCTACGTTTGCAACAGTCAACATGTCCACATTGCCACCAGATATTTTCAGTGACAACTTCACCCTACTTTCTCATGTTACCCCTTGCACCACAACTAAAGTTCATGTTGGAAAATCAACCAGGGTTGGTCCAGGAACTTCAATACAGGAATGAAAAGAAACACAAAAATATATCCTGTCTTGAAGACATCTTTGATGGCACTCTGTATCAGGAACTTTCCAAACCTGGTGGCCTCTTGTCTTTCTATAACAATTTTTCATTTTCTTTTAACACTGATGGAGCTCCAGTGTTCAAATCTTCCCGTGCCTCTGTGTGGCCTATTCATATCATGCTAAATGAACTACCACCAGTGTCCAGGGAAAAGAATTTGCTGCTGGCAGGCTTGTGGTATGGTAAGGGGGAACCAAACATGGATACGTTTCTGAAGTCGTTTGTCGATGATGCAAAGCATCTGGCTACAATAGGAGTTACATGGAAGCATGTTGATGGTACCCTTATTAATAGTAAATTCGTTGCAACCTGTTGCTGCGTAGACAGCGTTGCTCGTCCTGCGATGCAAAAGTTAATGCAGTTCAATGGCTATTATTCTTGTGGGTGGTGTTACCACCCTGGTGAGAACGTAGGTAATGTTGTCAAGTACCCTGTAGGCCCAGAATGCTACCCCGACAGGACTAATGAGACAATGGAAAAGGAAATGGAACAAGCATTTGTAACGAAGACAACCATTTTTGGTGTCAAGGGCCCGTCTGCATTGATAAACATGCCAAAGTTTGGGATAGTATCTGGGTTCGTACCAGACTACATGCATGCTGTCCTCCTTAGGGTGGTACGGCAACTAGCAGAGCTAT